CCGGCTTCCTGCTTCTTCCTTCGCCGGCTTCCTGCTTCTTCCTTCGCCTGGTTTCTCATCGCCGGCTTCCTGTTTCAAATATGAACCCTTTTTCTTCAACTCATAGAACCTGATGCTTTACCTGCGTATCAACTGGTATAGGGTAGAAGATAACCTAAAAATGAGCTGTCCTTTTTGGTCATTTTGCATTTTGGTACCGCTATAAGCTAATCCAAACACTTTTTACAAAACTCCAGTTTGATACCGCATAAGTTAATAAGCACTTTTACAAAAAAGTATAAGTTGTTTTAAATAAGCTTACCCAAACACCCCCTAAGTAAATCGTGATTTAAAGGATGTTATATGCTAACTTTATTATAATATATGGATAAAATATGTGTGTATATATATATAAGGTTGGGTTCATATGAAACCATAATGTTTTTGTGAGATCATTTTTTATACTTGAAACTTTATAGCAAAACATTGTGAAAGTAAAAAGATTCCGAACTTTCACAGCAAAGACGCTGAAGATTATTTTCATAGTGTTTTGTTGTGAAGTTTTTAAGTATAAAAAACAGTCTTACAGGTCTCACGAAAACAGTCTGTTATCACATGTGTGTGTGTATATATATATATATATAGAGAGAGAAAGAGAGATGAAAGATCTTTTATAGATTCAACCATTATTATCACCATACAAATCAATTGTTTGAGATATATTTATAGAAATAATTATAGTTTATTTATTATGATTTGAATATTTATAAAAGATTATCAAAGTTCATTTGTTATAATCAACATTTTATATTATTAGACTAGCTAAATAGTTGAAATTAATTTGTATGATTTGTATTAATGGTTTGTATGATTTGTATTAATGGTTGGGTTTGTAATCAAATCACCTATATAAAATGAAAAACTGAGAAAGGCGCCGGTAACCGTTATCTGGACGGTATGCACATGTGCATACAAGTTATCTGTAAGCACTTTGTCTGGTATGCACACATGCATATATGCATAAAAACCAAAAAACAACTCCAGTTACTTTTATGAACATGTATATACGTCCAGCTGAATGGTTAATATGATGTTTTTCAGTTTTTCATTTTTTGGAGAGTTTTCCCTATACCTCACTATATATATATATATATAGAGGGATGTTATTCTACAACATTTGCCATTCCTACACCCTATACAACCCTCATCTCAACCATTCAATTTTTAATCAATTAATTGTTTCCTAATATAAAATATTAATCATAATTAATAAACTTTATTCATATTCCATAAATATTCAAATCATAATAAATAAACTCCAATCATTTCTATAAATATCTCAATTAATTGGGTTACAAAGGTTGTACAAATGCACAAGGTTGTAAAAGAAATATACCATATATATATATATATATATGTGTGTGTGTGTGTGTGTGTTCATATGGTTTTTACATTAACAAAAATAATGAGATTTTTTGATTTTGTAACTCTCAA